ATTTTTTATTATCGCACAAAAACTGTTTGAGCCAGAGACTTCTTAATTGCTACACATTTGTTTGAATGTAACATATTCCTTAAATATACAGGGCTGGAAAGTCCACTTGGTCCATCTGCCTTTACATGAGAGCGACAAAGTAAAGTAAAGAAATCCGTGCGATAGACAAGGAACAAGGACGGCTATAGTGAAGACGTTTCATAATCTGAATAGTCACCGCCCGTTTCGGGTTAGAACTATTCAGATTATGAAACGTCTTCAATGTAACCATCCTTGTCTATCGCACAGATTTCTATAACTTACTTTATCGCTCTCACGTAACTGCCGATGAACCATGGGGACTTTCCGAACCTGTATAAGAAAATATAATCAGGGTGATTTATATTTCTTAAGCTCCACCCCATTATTATTTTATAGAGAGTAGTAAGTTTATGACTATTGGATTTAGTACCAATTTTGTTATCTCTTTCTGTCTATTTTGAAGTAAGAAAGTGAAATTTTCAGTTTAAAATGTCCGGAAGTTCTGGATATTAAAAATTTAAATTTTAGAAGTGGGAGCAATTCTCACTATACTTAAGTACATAAAAATAAGAAGAAAATTTTATATAAATTGTATTTAAGATCAAGGATGTCTCGCTTTTTACCCGAAATCCATATTACATAAAAATTCGACGAAACAAAAATTACTTAGAAACGAACATTGTATCTACTAAGTACTAAGAATTGTAAATTATGTAAATAGACACAGGCGACGTATAAAAAATGGAGTGGTTAAAGAAGAAGGGACACCTAAAAACATAATAGTACTATGTATTAATTCTCACTCAAATATATAAAAATACACCAACTAACAAATCTACAGTTAAAACAGTTATAGTAGGTACCTAATATTAAAAAATGTTTCGTGGTACCACATGAGCCGTGGTCTAATAAATTAATTAATATTAAGAAAATGTAATTATAGTCCGTACAATATTTGTTGAAATAGAATTCCAAGAAAAGAATAAGCCAACAAAGTTCTGTTATCGGAACTACTGTAACGATTTACTGAGGTAGTGACATGCCTTATATTTTTCCGCCAATGTCCTACCTCAGGTGTCGAATGCGGTTAATTCCAAGAAAGTGAAGCTGGAGTCTTCTTGGAATTCTATTTCAACAAATATTATACCTACGGACTGTACTACATTTGATTAAAATATATCCCCATATGCAGCTTAAGAACTGCTTCACCGTCACCTTTATTTGAAGCAAGAGGGGAATGAGAAAGGAAATAGGGAAAACAGTTACGTTTTTAATAAATCCCAACTCAAATAATTGAGAACTATGGCTTTATTATTTAAGAATGCTAAGAGATTAGAAATGTAAACAATCTTCCAAGTTTCAGTGTTAAAATTTTGACCTGTGACTACTAGCAACAATGTAGGAGTTTATTTTGTACTCGCAAATAACAGAACCTTTTAGGTATTACAGTGGAACTACTCTAGACTAGATATAACTTAGCGAATGCAACATTTCTTATCGGTAATAGATATACTGTTGCCTAACTATATAGGTAACTACTATTATTTTGCCATTAAATTTACATGTTTTTACAGTAATAAGTAATCAATTCGAAACAAATACATCAATAGCAATTTAAACAGGAAAAATGTAAAAAAAGAAAAACAAAACAGGAAAACAAACTAAGCTGTAATAATAAAAAAGGATTCTTATATTATGTATTTGTATAACCTGTCTAATATAAATATGTATATTATCCAAATCTCCAGTAGGTAGTGCACGTTTTTTAAATAAGATGTGGACTAATTTAAAAACTAAAAATAAAAATGCGCTGATATTCTCAAAAAAAGTATGGATAAATCAGCAAATTATCCATCGGATTTGACAGGTTTTTAAAAGACAGTTCTTAAAGCATTATCTCTATCTATGTTAAGTAACTAAAAGTGTATTTCTGAGAAGCTGAGATTTTTGTGTGGTTGCAGTGTCCAAGAAAACACTGGTTTTCCGTTAAATAGACCAGGAAATATAGGGGTATACATGCATAATTCTTCGGTAAGGCTGATTTTTTGTGAGCAGATAGTAAAAATAGTGTAGAATAATATGTACCGTATCAGCACGCTAAAAAAGGCGGGCGACATTGTTTAAAAGTTGATCAAACATTAGAAATTCGCGTTTTTCGACTGTAACTTTTTTTCTGACGGTTCTACAGAGAAATGGTAAAACACTTTTTTGTTCGTCTTTAAAAGATCTACAAAACGTTTCAAAAAAATCAATCCGGTCAAAAGTTACTTGCAAAAAAACCGCCAATTATGCCATTTTAAATAAACAATAATAAATCGCCATGTTATCACAGAGGCTTCTTCGGATAACACTCAATTATTCCTCACTGCAGACAAATTTAATTTATTTAAATTTAGGCGAAAGCCGGAATCCCTATGTGGATTATTTCGCGAGTTATGGCCTTATAAACAATTTAACTAATTAACGATCTGTACAAATCTGAGCTGTACCCGAAGTCGCGACAATTATTTTATTGGTAGATTTAACAAAAATCTATCGAGTTCCATTGTATTTTCTCAAAAAATGCATTTTTATAGCGTATGCAAATTATTTAAAAAATTTCCTTTGTTGCAAAATTAAATACGCTCTTAATTTATATATATTTTTTTGTGTTTTATTACATCTACTAAAATAAAAAACTTCAATTTGAAAAAAGATTCGTCACGATTCGTTAATAAACAGCGGAGTTATGCTCAGAAAAATCAGCCTGACCGAAGAATTATGCATGAAATGGTAATTTTCGGACTAGATTTCCTGGTCTATAAAAGTAAGAAAATGTTTGAAACTACCAATGAGAAGACTTTTGTTTAAAGCACGTTTTATACTCCAATATATAAAAATTATGTGTTTAAAATTTCAAGGTTAGGATGTGAATTTTTAAAATATTTCCCTAACAGAACCACAAGAAGTTGCTTAAATTGAACCGGAATGCAATTTAGGAAACTATTTTTCTACTTTATGATAGTGCATGTAATGTTTGTCTTCAGATGTCCACAAGTGGAAATTATAGAAAATAGTTGACATAAGATTTAGAACTGCCATATAAACAAGGACATAAATGTATAAATAAATGCAGTCGATGGTGTAGTAACGACTTAACATTTTAATGATATGAAAAGTTAGCTAACTCTAATCGCGGTTAGTACTTGGATGGGAGATCGTCCAGGGAAGGCTCGCGATGCTCGTCCACCTTTTAGTGGACATACCCTCCCTTGGAAAGGATACGCATGCCTAAGCAATGATACGCAAGTAAAGTATCCCTTCCCTACAAGGTGAGGTTCAGCAAAATGTCTAGGTTGGGAGTTGTTGATAGCCGAAGTAAACCGACGTAAAATTACCAAAAAGTAGTCGCAAAAGTAGTAAATTACCAGTCGCATTGAAATAAGCTGCATTTCAAATTTATTACAGGTCCTTTGAAGGCGGCAATATCGGCAAAAGTCTGAATAAGGGTACTCTTGAGGGTTGAGGCCGTTACTACATACCTCTGTGGCAGACAGTATTGTTTAATAAAAGATCTGAAGAACAAAAGTGGTACCGTAGGAAGTGTGACCAGGAAGAAATTATGAATTAAGTTTTAATGAATACTATGCAAATTGTGTTTCTCCACTTCAAGTGCGTGAAGGCAATTCCGGCGAAAAGAAGGAGCATTTATTGCTGAAGAATTTGGGTTATAATTAGATTATTTTTTAAAGCTGTTCCCATATTGGTGAGGTTAGATTTTCTGGTGAGTGGTCAAAAACTGGATCTCCACTGGGTTATAACTAGATTATTTTTTAAAGCTGTTCCCATATTGGTGAGGTTAGATTTTCTGGTGAGTGGTCAAAAACTGGATCTCCACTGCGACCTTGTAATCTATTGTAACTCACTACTGAAGTTATATTTCACACGAGAGATTTAATTTCCTAAGATAGTCAATAACCTTACCTTGGTGGGTGAGTTTTTATCCAGGTCTTTCAGCAAAACCATTTTACCGATAAATCTGTTATAAAAGCTTTCGAGATAATTTTAGCAATTCAAATGTTTTGTTTGCCTTCTCAAATAAGGAAACATACTTTGACAGTAGCAGAAGTCATGTCAAGAGCTGGTTCTAGTCTAACAAAGTTCAAGGCAGCGGTTCTCCTGGAGATATGCATGACCAAGTATCCAGACCAAAGTTACTACTACTAAGTTGTTATTTCCTAACCATGTCAGAGCTTCCTATTACCGCTCTAGAATTCTGAGCTCTTATTGGCTATGGATAAATCAACAGTTTAGAAGGTCCTATATTGAACCATTTCTTGAATTTCATTTTTTAAATTGAAGATATCAAGGAACAGGGATCTATAATGCAGCAGCAAAAGTGTAATTCAAACTTTGATAGCGTTTTTTCATAAAACTACTGCAATTTTTTTTAAATGATTCAACTCACCAACAACAGCTACCAATAGTACCTAACATCTACTCGCTTACGATTTAAGTTAGAATCATTGTTAATGTCTATCGTAATCATAGAATCTATTGTATATTTGTCCTTAATTTATTGCTGGGAAAAGCATTCTAACGACTACTTCTACCAATAGACGTTATTTGGCGCGGTAAAGTTAATCATGTCGTAGGTGCACAAAATAAAAGAAAATTAAAAAATTACAAAATACTTCTTAAATATTTTAGAAGAATATTTTTATAGAAATTATGAAAAAAAAAAAATAAAAATAAAACTACACTATTTTGCTTTAATGTTCCTTGCTCTTTAAATATTTTTATCACCTTTTCCTCATCTACAGAAGTTGCCCACTTATAATTAATAATTTCAGTTATTACTTAATAAATAAATATTAATTTTAGTTATTTGAAAAATATATGTTCAATCTTGTTATTATATACATACCTACTTTATTTATTTGATTTGTTGTTATATAAGGTTAACTTTGATTTTATTTATTTATTTTTATTTTTTGCAGGTAATGAACGATTTGTGGATTACCATCACCATCACTCGCTTAAAAAGAATTCCATGTTGCTCTCGGTAAGTGGTTTACGTTTAGTGCAGGTATATTTTTCAGGCTGTGCGAATCTGATAGGAAAGCACATGTGATGTGCATTTGGTTTCATAAGGGAGGCTGTCCGTACGGGGCGCAATTAAGAACCCCTCGACGAGGGTGTGTTACACGAAAGCTTTTGGCAATTAGGTGTTTCGGTCCATAGTTTGATGGAAGCATTAGGACACACTCTACCGGTGTAAATTACGGCGATAACCGACAGAAACTCGCTGCCGGTCTTGTCAATTATTTATCCTGTTTTGATACAGAACACTCCCTTAATCCCCTAATATGTTTGGGGAAAGCTAAAATTCCATTGTGCGTGTATCGCTCGCACGTCTCATTTAAAAAATTAAGTTATCAATGAGATAATTTCAGAAAACAGTTTTTGAGCTCGAATAGATTAAAAACTGATGTCGCTATGGTTGGGATTAAAACAGTCACGTGATCGCCACCAACTGAAATGTTAAACATATTTTTCTTTACATTTTTTTTAAATTGTTTATGTTTTTTAGAAAATACTATACAGGGTGTCTGCTAAGGCATGGGACAAACAAATATATTCTAGATTCTAATAGATATAGTTCCATAAAAAATTGTTATGATATGAAACAAGACAAGAGATTCCAGTTAGTGACTTACCATTTATTTAACATTTGAACACTAGTGTTTTTTAAATTCTCTGAAACTATAACTAATAATGGAAGTAAAATTAAGTAAAATAGGAGAATTTTAAATGGGCATGTACCAACATTTGTATACAGACGCAAAGCTACCGGTTTAGTTAGTGGTTCCAAAAAGGCTTTATCGTATCAATTTTGCAATTAATTTTCATAGTACATCTGAGAAACATCTGTCAAGAGATAAACCCAAATGAGTTTTTTTTAAAACATACTTAAATAATAGAAACTCAAGAAATTTGAGAAGATTATTGTCTATAAAAATACATAAAAAAATTAAAATTAAAATAAATATGCATGGTTCTTTAATAGAAAATTTATTAGTAGTACATATTATTTTAAAATAAATGCCATTAGAAAGTGATCGTTATATTATTGTTGAATTAATTTAAAAAAAAAAGACATATTATACTACTTATGAACACTACTTTAACCTACTCTTTTATTTAGTACCTATCTACTAAAAGTTTTATGTCAAAAGATACATTTGCATTTACTGTTATTATTAAGTATTTATTATAATATACCTAAAGAAGTTCTACACGCATTATGTATGTATATGTTGAAAATTGTCATTAAAATATTTTTCAAATGTTTACAATAGATATATCTAATTAGCTTCTTAAATTTTATGTCATAATTCGTTGATTTAAATGTAAAGTGTATCTAAATTCAGCAATTTATTAAAAAAACTCATATTTGAATTTAGCTTTGTAAGTTCAAAGAAAAAAATTAAATTTATTTAAAAAAAATTAAGGCAAAATACAATAATTTTACGTTCACAATTTTGGTATTTCACATTATTTATATTATTGCTCACAGATCTGCTGTAACTATAACATCAGTTTATTGAAAATAAAATAAAATATCTACTTATAAATCCGAAATTTATATTTACAATACTGTCCATCAGATATGATATATCTGTGAGAACTAACCATTTTCTGTTTGTGAGGGCGAAAATATTTTTTGTTGATGTCTAATGCATTTTTAGAGTGGTCGGCATTTTATACTTTGGCAAGGGAGGAGCAGAACAGAATCCAAACTGCAAGCAACTAAATATCAAGCGGCGAAATGTCTCCCTGGGGACTTCGCCGCTGTGATTTCATGCCTAGAAGAATTGGCGATCAATGCGATTTTATTTATAGAACCGTAAAGATCTTACAACAAATTTAGTGAATTATACAGTGAATACAGTGAATTAGTACTTTTATTATATAATCAGGAATTTTTCCATTGGAAAGGAATAGGTATTTAAAGAAAGTATTTTAATCTCTCATGCGAAAACAATCAGTTGTTTTTATAAATTTAGTTACTTACCTCGTCCTTGAGGATGCGAAATCAACATTTATTAACATTCAGTGAAAAATTAAGAGTTTTAAGTTCAATAAAATAATCGCAGATACTTTTAATTTTCTCTTTCTATTTCTAAGGTTTTCGTGTTATTTGATTCTAATCTCGAAGCTTCTCCAATAAATAAATGCAGTGCATTGCCCTTAACCGGTTGAACTATCATAATTACCGAATAATTACCGACTAGGTAGGAGTATTAATTTTTTTTGAGAATTACTTTTGTTTCCAACATTTTCAAAGGTATATCCATACTATAATAATACTTATTAAAAGAATTCTATAACTTTGCAGCAAAAAGCTAAATAAAAAAAGGTGTTACTTTTTAGTAAGATAAACAAGTAGTAGGTAAGAAGTTTTGAAGAAAATAGTCCCAGAAATATTTTTTACTAAATTTGATTCTAACTACTACTAGTTAGGTATTCTAATTAATCATTTCATATGTCTTAAAAATTCCATAGAAAGGTAGATTCATAATACCTAATCCGCTATTATTTTTACCGCTATTTAGGTCTTCAAATCACATCTATAATTTGTAAAACAGAAATCTTCCATTCATTAGTTATCTGACTATTAACATTTTTTCAAACTATATCATTCATTTTACGATTACTTATTTCATATGTTAACGATTATTTTCTCTGAAAAAAAGGTTAAAGACTAAATCATAATGGCTTTATATTATAATTTCGCATAGTTAATATAAGAAGAAGAACGGAAAGTTAATCATATCTTTTGTAAAAAATTATACTTTAATAAACAAAAAACTAATTTTAAAATATGCGAAGTAACAGAAATATTAACTCTTTTTCAGTCTTAATGAGAACTGATTGTGTCTTAAAATCTTTCTTGAAGGAGATGATTAAGACTTTTTTATATACTCTAACAGATTTGTTCTCAGTCCATATACATTTATCAGAAATATGTAAATAAAATTGGCACTTTATCAATGTACTCCAGTCGAATTAGATCATAAAACCCTTGAGAAAACCTGAAAACTTGAAAAAATTATTAGTAGATATTTTAATGCATTTTATGATGGGGAATGGTAATGTCAAAAAAGTAACTCGAAAGAAGTGACGCTAAGTTGACAAATTGCAAATAGGTGGCAAATTTACGTGTTTTTTCACTTTTTTTACTACCCACGAAAATCTAGACGACCCATCGGAATATTGTTTCGTTTGTTTTTTTTTTGCAACTAATCGTTTAATTACTAAACGTTAATTTTAGAAGTTAATATCGTAAATACTTATAGGTTGTTGAAAAAGAAAAATTTCAAAAAGTTGAAATTGAGTTACGCTTTACTACTAACAAAGTAGGATGTGCAAAACATAAACAAATTGTCCCAGGGGCAGGCAAAAGCCGCTCGGGCATTCGCTCATTTCGCATATTTATTAAGAGAAATTACCTACCCGTCTTTGTTCCCAAGATAACTTTTTTTATATAATATGTAATTATTAATTAACTATTTGGATATATCGGACAGGGATTTTAGAGCCAATTAAAGAAAGGGTTATACTTTTATTTCCAAAATGTTTTCATTTACAGTTCATGTAATAAACGCGCTAGTCGCAGTAAAAGTTAACGTTAATGAATAGCTTACACGCAGGAGAATTAGCACCGGGCTCGCGCACGCTCGTGAGCGACGCCCTCGTCGCGCGCGAGATCTTGTAACCAAATTTGAAACGTTCAAAAATATTGCGCAAGACAGAGCGCGACGTTCACGCGCATGCGCGAGCCCGGCATTCCTCCCGCGTTTATAACACTATTTTGCACGTCCTACTTTGTTAGCTGTAAAGGAGTCTGATACTACTACGATATTAACTAATAAAATTAAGGTTTAGTGATTATATAATTAGTTGCAAAAAATGAACGAAATTAAGTAACAAATACGTGGAGCAACAATTTCACGGTCAATCGAATCGGCCTTTGGCATGTATGTATTTGGATTAACCGTCCTTTCCATAAATTTCATCAATATCCATCGCTTATTGCAATAAAAATGCGCAATTTTCGAAAATTGATTTTTCCGCGTTCGACTTTTATTTTACAGTTAACAATTTGGTGAAATATGACTTTAGATAGTAGATGCTAGATGATAGTAGATGGTACCTTAAATTGCATTTTTATTTTTAATTGTCTACAAAACATAAGCATAAAACAAACTCTAATTCGACAGGAGTAATGTGACTAGATTGTTTTGGCCTTTATCATCAGAAACATCGTTCGTCCTGAAAGAACAAGAAAGAGACGAAATTAAATATACTACTGTGTCAAACTGAGTAAGTATAAATCATAAGTATTACGACCACAAGGATATTGTGGCGCACAATTTTTATTTAAGTTCTGATACACTGCAAAAAGTATATTGATGCAGGGATTCATCTAATTTATTTGTTATATGACCATACTATCTTGCAACTGTCTTCATTAAGGAAACGTTTATCGAACTAATAATAGTAAAATTATTATTGGTACCTACATAGTAGTAAATATTTAATTGTGGTAATTTTAATTTTGTTGCCTGTTCGTATTATTTTCAAAAATAATAACCTACTGTCTATTTTTTAAAAAATTGCAAAGAAAGAGATAGGTAATAGGTAGGTATACACATTTTTGACTAAAAAAATAAAATAATATTTAATGGGTTATTCATTTAATATTTTTCAACAGTAAATTATGAATGAATGAATATTTTTTCCGTAAATATTTTTAAACAAAGCCTATGTAGGTACATAGGGAAATGTTGGATTTTGTTCTAAATATTATTTCAGTGTTTCTGAATCATGAACCCTTTTAATCATCATAAGGTATTTCACAAATCATTCTACTAATCTACAATTATAATACAGTGTATTTTAAATTGGTCGTCAACCTACAAGGAAAAGGCGGAACTCATTGTTAAGGAAGCACGAAAATTCAAATTGGCCCTGGAATTCTATATCAAATTTGAAGGG